TCCAGCAGAGTGGGTTAACAAATTGGACTCGTTTCAACTCTTCTGTATAACATCTTGGATTCGTTTGAACCAAGTATTGTCACGTCTGCGCGCTGCGACTACAATTACTTCGAGAGTATTTAAGGTAAGTCTTTTCAACGCAGTCGACATTTATATTAACAGAGGAATAGTGTCTTTCTTTATTAGCTCTAAGGCTTTAACTTAGTAAGCTCTACACTGAAACTATTTACCATAATCTTATTGTGCTTGTCAGAGCTAATTGCATTACCCATGCAGGACCGGATTATAAACGTCTTTGTCACCTAGTAAAAAACACATTGCTGCAAACAAAAACCTTTTAGAAGTCATTTTATTCGAGAAGGCACAAAATGTCACGACAAAATGACCTCTTTGTACTAACTGACCGATTACAATTTCATGTTTATAGAATTCAGCTGTCGTATCTCGGTCATTAGAGTTCTGGTTTGGGTTCTCAGCGGTAACTTAAGTTTAATATTCTTGAAGCATCGAAATTAGGTAATTTTCTATCAACTCACTATATGTTGCTAAACTTCAATAAACCTGCTAAATTAGCTGAAGTAAGAGTAGAAATTGGTCCAGTTGAATTAGAATAACAAATTTATAACGTTACGTTCCTTCGATCAAGTTTGATATTGTCTTGCTGCATCTTCTCTTGTGTCACATTCTGATGATTTTTACAATGTCCTGAGAATTATGGTCCTAAACAAATAACTTCAGCAGCGATTTGTGTTTTCCGTATTAGCAGGTTGCTGTTTAAGTTCTGCGTATTTGCCTTTCCATGCAAATGGGTATTAAAGCGCTCAATGAGTGAAACAAAAACGGATTGTCTCAAATGAAGTTTTCTGTTTGTTTTTGATGACCGTGGTATTCACTATCCCGAATGTTCACAGGATGAGTGAAGGGACCAAAGCGGCGTTTGAAAGTTTAATAAATCGGTTTTGCATCGTTTTCGGTTGATCTGGCCCGACTAGAGAACGAGCAAAGGTGTTCTACCAGATGAGTCCCCATAAAATCGAAAACAAATATTAAAACACATATAGAAAATTCACTGAAAAGCAGTTTATTACTTTTTTAAATATATTGCTTTTATTCCTGTTTTGATCACGCACTGATGACGCCAGTAACGTTTTTGCAGTGAATATCACATTGTCATATTCTCACAAAAAAAATTAAAAAATTAGGATCATGCTAAAAATCGTCAAGAATTTTTCAGTCAAATTGAATTGTTCACAAGCTTCGGAGAAGTAAAAAAGAAAAGAATGAAGGAAAGGTTCTCAGTGCGGAAAATAAAGACCAACAAACTAATTCGGTTCAACTTTGTTAAGAATCCGGATCTTACTATTTCCGTGAGAAAATACGGGTTTCCTGCATGGCGTGAAAAACTGGAGAAGTCATCCGCGGCCGACGGAAAGACGGATAGAGTTAATCAAATCCTGTTACGTGGTGATAAACGATTTTATTTTAGGCTTTCAAGCTTGCGACTTAGCTATATTTATTTGCTAGGATTTGTACATATTTTTTCTTTTTCTCTTTTTTCAGTCATCAATGTGTTACTTGTGCTTTAAAAACTAGCTTTCCCTGATGGATGTTAACGTCACTTCATCGTGTATATGTTTGACGTTTACTTCAAAATTTCTTTTGATAATCCGTGCAGTTAGAGAACTACCGGCACATTCGTCAATATCTTCGATAGTTGCAGCTCATCTTGTGTGCCACTTAAAAGTATCAACTTATTTCTTTAAGTTTGATCATCAATGATCACATTTTTCTCGTTTACCCTCTTCGCGGCTGATTTTTGGCTGCTTACAAAATTAATCTGCACTTTGCACTTCTGCGCAAAGTGATTCAGCCTTCACTTATGCCCAGTCTTCCCTCGTATTCGTTTCTCGGAAGTTTGATCGGTCAACTGAATCAGTAAATCTTACGACAGCGGGTGATTTGTTTGACGTCACACGGCACCAATGATGCTTTGCTATCATGACACATCAGCATCACCGTCAATATTCATTACTTTGAAACCATGCGGTGATGATAAAAAAAACACCCAAATGTGATGTTCAGAAACTTAACATGTGTCTCGCAAACTGAGCTCTGCTAAAAAATCTCTAAGCAAAGGGGCAGGAATTTTCACAGAAGGTATGATTTTTCAGCATTATCTAGAACGTCACAACGAATATCGATTGTAAAGATATCTTGTGTCGTTGTTATCGGACATCTTCATCACCATCTTCAGTTATGAGGCAAATCATTTTGTGCTGTATTGCTGTAAGAGTGGTTGGCAGGTTTTAATTTTTTGTTCATTTCGCTCTACGTTTTGAAACAAGCAAGAATTTTGTGCCAGCAATGTTAAACTTGCCCACTTTCTTCCCACGCTCGCATGTTTCAAAATTCAATGTGACAAAGTACAATATTCCGTTTAATTTACATCATAATAGTATTGATTAAGAATTCACGCGACGAAACCTATTCATAAAATATTCGGTATATTTTGCAACAAGAATGTTACTAGAGCATTCTGTGTTTGTTTGTTTGATCAATTGCCTGAAATAAGGATAAATATAAATATCAGGATTGATAAATGCGTAAGTAGCATGCTCAACGGCGAGATTTTGCGCCAACCACACGGTAAACAACAATTAATAGTAATAATCTTTTACTTCTAAAAAAAAATATAAGCTTAACAAAACAACACTAAATTAACCCCATTTGGGCCAGTTTTGTCTTACAGAAGCAGCTCCGATATGCGGGAAATAATTTCTATATTGTCTTTCATCTGCATTTCCTAATTAAAGGAAGGAAAAAGCAGTGAAGGGTCACGCGATTATAAACGCCCGGGTTGAATTGGTAGACATTTCTTTTATGTGTTAAACGATTTTTTTTTTCAAACGACAGTAGAGCACAATTTTCCAAATTAAACCATCATTATTTTTAAAACAAGTATCAGGATCTCTTTACCAGCAGACTTTTGGATTCAAATTTTTTGCTAGAATCCAACTTCTCGAAGCCCAATTCAAAACTGTTTTTGTAACAAGGACTATTTCAAACAGAGAAGTACCTCGTTCTATAGTAGTAGTACGGAATTTTCAAATGAAGAATCACATCTAATTACTCTTAATTACCTCGCGCTACGTCACAACAGCAGAAATTACTGCCCAAGTGGCTCTCAAAGGTATCATTTGAAGAACTTGTGTGAGGAACACGTTAACTCTGCGGTTATTGTCTGATCATTGGATCTGAGCAATCTCTTTAGGTCACCGCTCGAGTTAAGTACAAGGGCAGACTTTAAATTATACAAAAAGACTGCTGCATGAGAGTGGAGTTCTACTCAGTTTGTATCAGTTATTTCACTAACTAAAGGCAATAAATATACCATTGCTGGGGCTTTTTTACACCATTGTACACCATCAGTGCAAGTTTATCGACCTGCCAAATGGCGATTTATGAACAACGACGCTATAATTATCTGGACTTTCCATAAATTTGTTTAACAACATGAACTGATGCCTTTGACAGAAAAATTTATCACGAAACATATAATGAAAATATCGATATTGACTTTTTCCTCATCTTCTTGTGAAATATCGGTACTTTGCAAGATAGTTACAACTCAAAAAAGTGCGTTGAGAGCCTTCTGAAGGTAAAAAAAGTCTAGGAAAATTTCTTCGCGGGCGAAAGCAGTCCTTCTACTCTCCCGAAATCATACTCAAGGTGAGGTTTAAAAAAAATGTCCGAAGCAATGACAACTTTATGGCGAGCTCTCTAACTAGAAGAAGATTACTACATAAAACTGAATCGTCTCAAAGAAGTCGCATTCCAAAGGAATGACACACGTTTCTCGGAAAAATAGAACTGACAGTTCCTCTTTTTTCGAGAAACGTGTGTCATCCATTTGGAATGCGACTTCTTTGAGACGGTTCAGTTTCACGCAGTAATCTTGCTCTAATTAGAGAGCTCGCCATAAAGTTGTCATTACTCCGGACATTTCTTTTTTCTCACCTTAAGCACGATTTTAGGAGAGCAGAAGGACTGCTTTCGCCCGCGACGAAATTTTCTTAGATTTTTTCTCTTCCGGCTTTGTCGGATAGTTTTTAATATTTTCTGGAAGGTTCATCTCTTGTTGAAATACTACTATCTGACGGTCTCACTGAGACCGTAGAACAGTAAAAATTTTAGATTTCTTCACATCATATTGCGCTTAACACAAAACCCACAAAAACCACTGATTTGCTTACTTTGGTTAATTAATTAATAACAAAAGTTAATTTTTGAGCTCTTGTTAAGATCTTCAATATATTATGTGGGCTGATATCTTTATATTCATCAATGCTCTTATATTTGCGACCACCACATACTCTAACACATCGAAGGAGTGGGTGAATAGTGGCTGAAAACAGGTGGGCCTTTCTTAACTCTTGTCAAGTCAAGAGAACTATTATCAGTTTTATTGGTTCAACGTAAGGTCTCATGGTATAACTTCAGGTATAAGGAAAGAAAACAGATATGTTGGTGTCTTTTTGTAAACTATTTTCGTTGTAATCGATGTCGGTCACGTTTCTAGAGTTTCAAAATGCCGCAAAAATTTGAAATAGGTAATTGTTGTCTATTCACGCACGATTAGAGCTTATAAACAACCCGATGAAGCTTGTGCTGGTGAGAGTGAGTGAGGGTAACTGAAGAGCCAGCGGAAGAATTAGCGGGTGACTCACATCTCTAGCAGACATCTATGCAAGATTTTCTCTTCTCAACGACCAAGCTAACAATAAATACATCGACTTTCCTTAACAATCTACCGTTAGCATTTTCATTAGGACAAAGAAAATTTAATTATCATTTGAGGGATATTTTAAAACAAAAAGGAACGGTGGAAAAAACGTGTGATCGTGACAAAGAGAAACCTCTTCAGACGATACAATAAGCAATCGGCACGTACAAGAGTCGAGGGATCGATAAAGAACTTAATTTTAGCAAGCACTTGAGAAAGAATGCGACGCATGCCTGACTCTATGCTTGCACGCAGGAAGAAAACATTGCTATTCTTTGTATTACATTAATGAGTGGGCCACTGAGCGATGAATCAAGGAAAGTAAAACAGCGTGCTTCAGTTTAACTCTTCAGACAAATCTTAAACGCCAGATGAAGTAAGTAGCGAGAAAGGCGAGCAAAGCATTCTCTTGAATAGGTATAAATCTACACGACATTTCAACTACACGTTTTGCGTGAAGGATGCAACATTTAGGGAAGTTCGCGAAGGAAGGAAGCATTGACAAACCTTAGCTGTAAAACGGGCACGTATCAGAAATCCTAAATTTTAACGTCAAAGTCAAACTCCTGAGAACTGCACAATCTCTCTGAATTGTTCTGCGTCTATCATTTAAAAGCTATGACTGGACATAAATATTTCAGCATACGAAAGAAATGATAATCTTTGAGGTGAAATGGCAGCGACAGATTAATTGATAATAGCAACCGCAAGAATAGAGGCTTGTCTTTCGAACGTGCTCTTCAATAGAATGAATTTCGAGCCGACTCATGAACGATAAAGATAATTTGAGGGAAATAATTTGTTTACTCGTTCTCGTGTTACCTTAAATAACTTGGATTTTCTATATTTATCGTTGTACTGGCATACGTATGTTTAGCGTGTATTAATAGCAAAGAACAGCTTCAAATTCCAATACTCTCATTTCATGTTAGGTGTTCGAAGAAGAAGTCCTGTAAAAATTTCGTTCACCGCCATAACTTTGAGTCCCTTGCACCGTTCAACAAGTTCTACTTCATTCACGTGGAAATATGCTAATTTTTACACCGATATGGTCGCTTTAAAGCACAGAAGAACTCGATCTTCATATTTGGTTGGAAGAGGGTCCTAAAATAACTTGCATTGTGTTCTGGTAGTCTAGTTATGTTCGGTTTTCAAATATTAATCCAATAATTTCATTTACGTTTTGTACCATCGTCAGAATTGCATAAGGTTTTAATGGATAGAGACTCCCGCACAGAAATGTTTGTAAAATTCTATCCCGTTGCTTCTAATTCCCAAAATAACAAACACATACATCTGGTCAGCTCTCTGCCTCTCTGCATAGGTTGCAAAGCAAAGCAAGTCTCTGACCTTGCATGACTTTCAAAGCAATCTTCATTCTCCTTGACAAGTAATAAAGTTTGTATCCTACGTTTGAAATTTCGTAATAATATGTAATCGAACAAGACAAGTGCTGCGCAGAAAAATCATTATTCATAAAACCTTCTGCTTTTTTTAGCGAAGTCGCGGCACAGAAGAGAGTCTTGTTCTTCAGCATACATTTGAGAGCACTAGCTTGCTTATAATTTCGAGCATCCCAAGTTTGCAATTTTACCTATTCTTGTAAATGCATAAGGAGAGATAAGATTTTTTTAATCCTACCACGCATTTGATGTCGACTCCAAATATGCTTGAAATAATTTCTTTTCTTTCAGAAAATGGTAGAAGCCGAACCTTGGGTGATAGGACTCGTGGCAGGATTGGCAGCGTTGATTTTGGTCCTGATTTGTATTCTCGGCATCTTTTGCGTTTTATGGGCCAGGTAATTATAGTATCAGATAATATCATTGTCGTCTCACTCATTGTTATTATTATTGTTGGCTTTTCGTTATCGTTATCACTTTCGTATTCGCTATGTTATCACTGTTTCTGCCGTTCTCGTTGTCATTATCATTTTCAACTCACACTCACTGTCATTGTCGTTGTTCTTGTTATCAGTAAATGTTACCATCATCATACTCTCCATTTCGGAAATACCTCAATTTTTTTAAGGATAAGTGGTTGTTGCTATGGTTCTCGTGATTAATTCAGTGATTGGTGGATTTGGCTGATTGGACTTAGTATGATTGGCTACTTCAGCAGTCCGATTACAGGTGTCCGATTACAGCCAACTGTACGATTACACTGTCCAATTACAGCTCTGCAGAATGATTAGTGAAAAATAAGGCAGCTAATGCACCAATCACTTTTCAGGAAATTGTAACAGTTATGATTAAGCCTGTAACTACTTATAAAGCTAGGGAATCGATTCGAAGTTACTATCATGAAGACTGTGCAATTTCGCTTGGGTTAATTCAGTATCAGAAAATTGTAAGAATAACAAGTAAAGAGAGAGTTGGTGATGATTTGTTTATCCACGAGAGCTCAGTCTAACTTTGATTAACGATTTGAGATTCCTTCAAAATCCTCTTCATCATTCACCGTCGTTGTTCCCTTCGGTTCATCTTTGGTGTTCGTCTACCCAACGAAACTATTATTCCAAGGTTCCATTTATTTTGAAATTTCGTTGACTATCACAAAAATTGTGACCAGGCCTCTTCAATATCACAAACATTGATAAGCATGACCATCACAGCAAACAGAAAAAGGAAAACTGAACTTCTCATCATCTGATTTCTGTGAACGCTACATTGAAATTTAGATATCATTACACTTTTTCAACAATACTGATTTAAAGATTTTTTGGAAAGTAAAAAAACTATGATACCTTATTTCCCCCATGTTCCTTTTATAAGCAAAGTGACCGCTCTGAATTATCTCGATGATCATCATTAATCGGGAATTTATTGTTTTCTGGCACAATTAGGAAAGACAGACAACGGAGACGTGATGAGCGTGAAGAGCAACGCCGGCAACGCTTAGCAGCTCTCGCCAGTAGAAATAGTGACTTCATGGGAATTGAGTCTAATTCTGCGTCTATGGCGTCCTCGAACAACAACGCCAACTGGGTTCTTAAAGAAAAACCGCACGACTTATTAAGCTCGCCGCCTACTTTAACTAGAGCAGCTGGGAATGAGCCTTTCATAGTCGGAAAATCAATGGTGAAATATTCTAACGAACTTGACAGATCAAACAGCCTTCGACCAGGAACGCCACAAAGATATGTCAGCCATAATGAAGCTGAGCAGAGAATGGTGCGGTTAGGGATGATTCCGCCAAGACGTGACGAATTCAACGGACATTTCCCAGCAGGTTATTACACCGAACCTGGAAGAGGCAAGTCACAGAAAGGAAAGGCGAAATCTCTAGATATGGATGGAAGCAGAAGATACAGTGCGGACCCGCCACAAGGGGTGGCAATGCCCAGATCCGTCGGCTACGTGAACGGAAACATCCCCCCTGGTTATCTCACCGTGCCTGGAAAGGCCAAGTCTCCTGGTAAAGCTAAAGGTGGAAAGAGGGGGTCAAGAGATCTTGAAAACCAGCGTTTTAGGCATAATAGTGAGGTGCTAGTACCTGTGAGTGAAGAGGTCCAGTTGTGGTCTATGGAACAGAGCCAACCCCCATTTACACTTCCTGAGGAAGATTACAACACAGCGGGAGCCACATGGTATCTTTCTCCATCAAATGATACGCAGGGAATATCCAGTGCAAGGTCAGAAAGTTCCCTGTATCGGCCTTCGCAACCCCAAAACTATCCAAGGCACGGTCCACAAACGTATAACACTCAGAACGTAAATGGGACGGCTGTGTCAGGGTCACTACCACCAGAAGGTCCGCCGCCCACTTCGCCAGGGCTGATGGAGCAATATTATGACGGTCAAGACACTACAAGACTCAAACGAGTAAAGCGTGTCGGTGTACCGACTCTGCCAAATTAGAAAGTCCCCCCACAATGTCTTAAACATTTATTTGACATCACCTTTAAAAATTGCACTAGGAAATGATCGCTTCTCAGCTCAGCTTGACAATGCAGTGGTTATCGTTTGTGGTGGTGGCTGTATGGAACATGGAATACAATGTACAATGTTGGTTTCTGACAGCTCAGTCCCTTATGTTGAGGACTATATGTTTGTTCATGATGTTATACTGGTAACCTCTGGAAGTAAAAGCAAGGGACTGGAAGATGGATTTTAAACTTTAATCATTCAAATACGCACTTAGTCGGCTATCTTCCTTCATCTCCTTCCAAAATTTTGCATAATTTTGGCTCGTGTTGATTTATGATCATGAAAGCACTGTTCTTTACCTGGTGCATCAGAGAATAGAACAAAAGCAATTGTATACCACATGGTTATAAAGTATTCGTCAGGTCTAAAAATCTCATTTGAGGATGAAGCCATCCTTAATTAAAGTAAGACACATAAGGCTACGCATTTTGTGGCAATTGCAGTGGTAGAATGAGTAAAAATTCCAGCCAACGCACGTTAATCTTTAGTAAAAACCAGAGGAGGATTGAACATGTTAAGATTTTATTATAAAAGCGTTCCTCTCTAAATAAAGATATTTAGTGAATGCTCTCCCACGTGGCGATTTGCAAGAGGAATAATTGTTTAATCTCATCAAGCTTATTTTAAAGCGTATGGCTGCGTTCTTTGAAAACAAAATAGGAAGAGAAGTATCAAAACAATTTATCGACGTAATTAAAGTTGTTTATATGTAAAATATTTTAGAAGTAAAACAGAAAAAAATGTTTCTATTTCTAAAGAACATAAAGAACCTTTAATGGCAGTTTTTTTTGCAGTTATTATATAATGAAAATGTACCTTTTTACCTCGAACAGGCCTTCGTGGATAGATCATCTTTCACTAAATGCACTGATCGGTGTGCGTGCGGCAAGTTCGAAGACAGAGTACATGAATTTTGGAACAAATTTCTCACTTATGTGACCTGTAATGATATTGTCAAATAGGCCTGCAATTTTGGTGACAGGCACAAAGGTGGGGATAGTTTAATGAGAAAAAAGGGCCAGAAAAGGAGATCAGCGAAGGCCTGGTGGGTGATAAGTAATTATCATTTCCCATTAAGCGTGGGTGGCACTGCAAATAAATCTCATATATCAAACTGGTTCTCTTGCTTTCTTTTAAATTGATGTCGGAACAGATGCTATTTTTCGAAATCGGACAATTTAAGAACACCTTTCTTAGAGTGGGTCTAGGTTCGGATATTTCCTTCCACTCTTGGACGGTTCCGTCAGGTCTCATCTCCGTCTGATTCCGGAAGCCTCCGTCCTATTTCCGTTGTTTCTGTCCGAACAAGAGTTCGGCTAAAACCGAAATCATCCTGATCCTACTGGACGAAATGACCAGATTACATTTATAATGATCGACCAAACCTAATATCGCAAAATTGTGATTTATGAAACTTTCTTCTGAAACTCGAAGCATTTTGTTAATGTTATTTTTCCTTTTAGATTTTTCACATCAAGCTATTATCTTAGTTTTTAATTTGACACCGGGTTTCTTTTTTCCCGCTGATATGATAAACATCGAATTCAAAAGCGTTTCTGACACCGATAAGCCCATTATTATGGTTATAAAGGCCATTAATCAAGTTTAAAATGAATTCATCTATGTCAGTTTTATAAGCCCTTAAACAAAAGATATGGTTAAGAAATTTCTGTAATAACTCATTACGTTGGGAATGTACGTTATCGTGTACAGCAGTCTCACAACTTTTAGGTACTTTTCGCCATCCATTCAGTTTTGAGTTCGAATATATTTAAAAGAATCCTTACGAGTTACCTTTAATGGTGAAAGTATGTGAAAACTCAAATCTATCTGCAAATTAACGAAACCAGACAAGAACAATATCGAAAACAACAATAACTTTTTCATTAGGAAGGTTCATCCGTTTCCTTGTCGAAAACAAAGGAGCTTTCATCACTGTAGAAATGAGTTTCTCGGTGTAGCCTTCCTTGAATCGGTTTTTCCACGTCGGTAACGACAACAATGATCTGTTGTTCCCTTTGCAGTGAGAAATTGATTATTTGTTTGAAATTATTACCAATTCAAAACAATAGAAGGCTCTAAACATCTTCACAATGGCGTGTTATCGGTTTTTCAACATCCAATTTGAATAATTGGTTTTCCTAAATTTCGTCTGCAAAATTTGCATGTATGTAGACATCAAATCACTTTTAGAGATTTTCAGCAAGGGCTTGCTAACAAACTCCTTCGTTGAAAGTCAGAGGTTTACAATTTTATACTTAGTTTTTCAATACACTAAAAATAGCAACAGTGGTCCAAACAGAAGAAGAATGCGCATACGTAAGTTTCCGCCGCGCCTCTAACAGTCTAACAGATTTCCAAGCGAGTCTAAGTAATCTTTTGACGCATGTGGACTCAACCGTGAACGCTTGTCATATCATCTTCAGTCCTTATTGAAAAACACCCACATGAATATTCACCCTGCGATATGGGTCGAACTGTACTGTAAAGGAAGCCGCTCGTCTGTACTTGTATGCATAAAAGACGGGTTGGCTGATCGATTTTAGAAACGGCGTTCTGGTATCGACGTATATATAGAGTTTGCGGTGTTGGAGTAAGTCCTAGAACTTGCACTTTTGTCGACTCAATGACAACATTCTATCCAACGCAATCGAGTCAACAACGGCCACGAAATGTTCACAGCATTTCTTTTATTCTGTTTGTTAATTTGCCATACACACCAGACGAACGACAAAGCACTCAGTCAACCTTCCGAACTGCTTCGCGGGTTTAGCCTTAAAGAGGTTTCACAATTGAAACAATCATCAAAACAGAGAGATGACGTACCAAGATTTCTTCTCAACTTATACAGAAAGCGAGCGCTTTTACACCGCCGAGGAATAAACCAGCGGGACTCGGAGATAGTGAGGGTGTTTTTCCGAGAACGTAAGTGCTAGCTCCTTAGAATGCCTGACCGAGAATGGCATTTAGTTAGTTACGGTAACCATTCTATGAAGTAATCAGAACATAACACCAGGTAAAGCGTTATTTATTGGTTTTACTCTCTTTAGCCGCAGGGGAAAGCAAGAGAAAAGGACCACTGCATTACGGGTTTTATTTTAACATATCCACCATTGTAGTGGAAGAGAAAGTCAAGAAAGCTGAATTGAGAATCTTCAAGAAGACTCCGCTGGGACGGACTAGAGAAGCTGGTTACTTTAAAATAAGAATTCTGCGTTTGAAAAATCACCAGCACTGGACCAAAGGGGTCCCTATCGCTTCCCACTTGGTTAGTTACAAAGAAAACGTTGGTCGGTGGATAACGTTTGATGTTACATCTGCGGTTAAATTCTGGAAAGAGAAACCCGAGGAAAACTTTGGCTTGAGTGTTACAGTGGATGGCGTTGGTGCCTTCCCATCAGATTTTCGTATCGGGGGACATGGTAAAAGAGCACCTTTCTTGGTAACGTATACAAAGAGCCCACAAAAATTTCCAAGAACTCTGCATGTAAACTGCAGCAGCGACTCAGTTCCCGAAGAGAATGAAGAACACGTCTCTAAAAATATCTCAATGACGTCCACATCTCGTCAGAGGCGTTCCAGCAGACCGCCTAAAAGATGTCAACGTCGGTGGGTTTATGTGCATTTTAAAAAGTTAAAATGGAACTGGATTATTGCTCCAAATGGTTACAGCGCTAACTATTGCGATGGTGTCTGTCCGAGGGTTCTTGATATGCAACTGGAACCAACGAATCATGCTATCTTGCAGAACATTTTACACAAATTGGACAGTCGAATTCCGTCTCCCATGTGTGCTCCTACTAAATTACATGGCATCAGTGTGCTATATAAGACAAGCGACAGATCTATTGCGTTAACAGAGTATGGTGGAATGGTTGTGTCGTCTTGTGGATGTCTGTGATGAAAGTGAAATATCCGCAAAACCGTTTCTTAAAAAGATAAAAGCCGAAAATAAATTCTGGCTCCTCATAACACAGATTTATGTTCGAGGAATTATTGAATTATCGAAATTCTTTCCTACTTGGCTGACGTCGCCAGACATACACAAATTGCTTTGAACTGAAGAGGAAGGCCTGTAAAAAAAACATATATATTTGATTGAATTGTTGAGTACAGTCATGATTGTACTTAGGTGATATTTGACAGTCAGTTTGCGACAGTCGCTATATCCAGAGGAAGACTGCTTGGGCGCATGGAGAAGTAGGTGTAAAACCACTTATGAACCAGACAATCTAGTCGAGCAAAACTCCATAATTAAAAACATAGCTGCAATACTTTAGAGTCTCCAAGTCAAAACAAGATCCAGAAGAGGAGACAATTTTAAATTCAAATTTATGGTAGTGACGCAAAAAGTTTTGTATCTTTTTGCAAAAGAATTTGGCAGGCTGAAGAGCGTGAAAAGCTCCTTAAACCTTCACAGAATCTTTCAAAAGAAGTTTGGTATAAAAGTGTGTACTTTAGTTATATTTGCGGACGGCGCCAATTTTGGGCGAGAGAAAACAAGAACGTGTAGGAATTTCTACCCCCGCAAACGCAATTATCAAATGCCAGCTAATATTTTCTCGTTGATTGCGCCTTTTCGAATTAAATGAATAGCCTGCAGTGTCAGACAGACGCCCAAAAAATAATGAGACAGGGTAATGAAACATGATTAATCTTTTGAAAGTTACATTATAATAACATCAGTTCTTGGATCAAGTTTTTTATTACGTACGTTCGGTTGACTGCAAAGTTTTCCAAATAGGAGTAAAAACTCATAAGGGTTATTTAATAACAGAAAAAAATGGGATTGCTTATTTAGCACGCTTGAAACAAACAACTACTAGTACGTACTAATTAGAGTGAGAATTTTAATCGTCTATAAGCCGATAAAAGATTGTGGCCTAACCGACTGACTGACTGATTGATAAAGTGTATCAGCCAGAGTAATAGCAATATTAACGGTAAAGTCACGAAAATGATTGCATGTTTATTTAATTGTGTGAACAAAATAATGATATTAAAAAAATTAAAGGTATTTAATGTGTACCTCTCAAAGTTAGTAAGGACTTATGAAATGATTTTTTACTCTAATTATGTATGAGTTTCCACTGGAAAAAGTTTAAGTCAGAAGTCATATTTATATTTTTCTTCTGAAAATTAGATGAGAGATTAGCAAAGAGTATTTGAAATTCTTGTTGTCCATTGGTTAATTAACTGTGGGTTTAGGAAGGCTCTTAACAGCTCAAAGTATGTCATTATACTTCGATGGATCATTACTATTTGCTGATGTTGCTTGACAGTCATGAAAAATATTGTTGGATTACAATCTTAATTAGCCTGTATTTATAGATATTAATAACTCAAAAGTGAGCCTGGGAAAGGCTAATTTCAGCTCTTTTTTTAGTATTTTTTTAATTTAACGGAATTCAACCAATAAGAACAAGTAACGAAGCACGTTTTGAGCTACAAGTATTGAAACAAAGAATTTCAGACTGTTTAAGACGGTACCATGGTAGACTGTTTGAAGTGAGTGAGCAGGATTGAAGCCCTTCCATTACCACTTATTATTATAATAAATAAAAGCGAAAATGGAATAATTTATCATGATGACTAACCTCTGTTCGTTTCTCAACCCTGCCATTAAACTGGTAAAAAGTTGAATCACGACGAGCCTTAGGACTCCTCTACACAACAAAGTTAATTCTCAGGTTTAAGGTAAAAGTTTAATTTGGATAGGTCGTCTGGCTTAGATATATCGTAATTGTAAACGCACCCGACAGCTTCCTTCTTGGTTCCAATCCATAATCTAGCCCGCCCCAGTGGTTCTTATGAGAAGAAACTCCTTAACTTACGAGCACATCCTCAAGCTAGTCTTTTTTCCTTCTAAATAACCCAGGTAGTACCAGTTTTCTACTATACACTATGCAATTTTTTTTCCGAAGAAATCGATGTAGGATTTATTCAAAGACGGTTGAACTTCGGCACCATTTTCAGGTGTCTCCAGTATATTTAACTTTCGTAGGCTTAGTGATTTCCCCGCTGACCAAAATGACTGTGTACTCTTACTCTCGATGAACGCCTTCAGCCAACAATAACAATGAAGATCTGAGTCATGTGTAAGAGCGACGATGATCTTATTTTCCACCAATACCGACCCTAAAAGCACCTCTTGCATGGAACATGCTTTTGTAACACAGTTTTTGTAGAATCATGATGGCTTACGAACTTGCGAATCAAGAAAACAGCGGACAGTTCTTGCGGAGGAGTTCCAGAACCTGAAATATCGTTGAATGAGCCTCTGTCAAAGGTAAGGTGGTAGAGTTTTTTCAAAACATTTTTGAGCATTACAACCAAATTTTTTTGGTTAACGGGGAAATAAGAGTATCTTCCGGTCAAATGAAAAAGCTAAATGAAATTGTTACAATGTTTACAATGTTTCACATTTCATGCACTGCACCAGTACGCATTGAGTGTTGATTGTCCCAAAGGTGGGGAATTACGGACCCTCCTTCTGGCCTGAACGATTTTGGACACCTCCTGGCCTTTACTTGCATTTATACCTAGCACAATCTCTGTCTGTCGAACAAATACACCTTACAAAGGTAGCATACAATCATTGGTTTCCTGGAAGTGATCCGAATAATTATACAACATCCCAACTAGCTGGGGCAAACCAGCTGGGCTAAAATCCAAAGCTGAATACCACTCGCCAACCATGCTCTTGCCCTGGTGTTAGGGCAAGAAGAGAATGTATTCAAAATTTAGAGGTATGAACTATCATACTGATCTTTCACTTATTAAGCTTTCACCAATTAATACAAAACAGTGGAATTACAGGAAGTGTCCCAGTATGTATCATACCTAATCTGAAGGGGAAAAAAAGGCAAAGTCATGGCCTAGTTTTGCAAAGGTCAATGTAGTGACCAAAAAAATCTTATTCATAAGATTCCAAGAGGTTTTACTCTAAGACGCAGTTAACAAGGTGCTCAGGGCTATTTTACAGATCAATATTGAAGAATAACTAACCAAAGCTGACCATTTACACAAATCATTAATCTTGCAAGCAATTGACCACAAACCACAATCAATGATCAAAATCAAGATCAATCTCACAATCAGTCAATCAATTGTAAACTGAAAAAATAATACAAGGAAGTTCTATCAATCTAATGAAATGTTGCAAAATACATAATCAAAAATCATGTGTAAAAACTGGGCCTTAACACCAATAACAAGATTAAATGACCAAGAACAATACAAAAGTTCTCATATATGGTGGTTCACTTGCATCTGATACAATTTTGGCCTTTAAATCTTGAATCAATTGAAAATATGGTAATGCAACAAAATATCTGTTTGTATACTTTTGCCCAATGCTGGAGAACTAAACTAAAAACAAAGTCACAAAGGTACTCATATATTGGTTCCGCTTGTGCCAAAAGTTTAAGAAACAGAAGGATGAAAAGTTCACCAAGACCACTCAAAAACTTATCAAGAACTGATTACAGGGATGCTTAACTCACTTTTATATGCAGGTGGTGACGCTGAAGGGTCCGATTACAAAACCAGTAGAAATTTAGACAAACAGATAAACATTGTAACTATGTTCGTATCTAGAATCATTCTGAAATTATTAAACTAATCAATAATCAATTAAATGAAAATGATCCTTCCAGCTAGTGTCCTTAACAGCCAATTAGCACTAACCTAGAGTTAAATTTTAATTCAGCATTCTTTATTTCTTTATTCAAGAGCCTTTTTGGGGATAATTTTCCCTATTCTTTTTTGACCATCTAATCATCAAATTGTGGACAAAAAAAAAGAAAATGAATTTTCTTTTAAAGCTTTCAGATTTGAAATCTTCAAATTTCACACAAACCCTGGGTTAACTTAACCCAGCTTTGAACAACCTGGCCCAGAAGATTGGAGTTTGACTCCAAATTAAGTACCACCTCATACATGTTACCATGAACAAAACCAACTATGCCCTCATTACCAAATCCCATCTTTATTATGTATGATAAAAGCATTTGATATTTTCAAAATGATGTGATTCTTAACAAAAATAAAATACATTTTGTCATTATAAAATTGGCCTATCAAAAAACAAACAAACAAACAAAAAACTAGATTAAAAAAGCCAAAATACCCACTCAATGATCAATAGCAGCACCAGTTGGTATAAAAAAAGTTATCCTCTTAGAACAGCAAAATTTCAACAAAAATTAGCAGAAAATGTAATCAGAAAATTATCTCAATCCACTAAGGAAATAATCAATCAATCAATCAATCAGCCATTTGCTTGTGCTCTAAGGATTGTGCAAAAAAAATTACTTAAATGAAAACAATAACAAACACTTCTTACTTTACAAAAACTCATTTTTTGCTGCTGACATGTTGACTTTCAATCATCAAGTGGGCAATCTGTCTATCACTCGTTAAGTTTGCCAGTGAACCAAACACACTGAGGTGTGGATTAATCCATTGACGTATTTGCAGTCAGTTACTTGGTAAATTGAAAGTTCTCACTTGACTTTAAAGTAGTGAATCAGGTGGAATCTTTTTGCCCATCAATTCCTCAGTTAATTATCTAAATTAATCTAAAGACAAGTTTCTTACTTGAATGAGGTAAATTAATTGTTACCACTTTCCAGCAGAAAATCAGTTGCAACTCAATATTTAACATTCAAAAAATGCTTTTCTGAGAACAACATCAAGTGCAAAGAGAATTTGTATTAACCTTTTATTTGAGTAAATTTGAAATAATTTTCCAGACCCAGTTATACTTAGGTTTGATAACACTATCGCAGTGGATAGTGCAGTATGTTTTGTTATGATTTTTGATATGTTTGCTTAAGGTGAGGCATGGGGTATTGTAAGTTTTACAGTTACCCAGGTTTCCTTTTTGAAATGTTTGTTTGCTCACACTACCTGTATGTTAGAGAGTTTTTGTTACTGTATGGGAATATTTCTCTCTATCCACTCATACACTGTACATGCAATTCATATGTGGCAGTTTTGATTGTGGCCAATTCCAGGTTGTTGCAATGTTGATTTGTAAAATCTAGGTCATGACTGTCCCATCCACAATAAAAATTCATAAGTCTGGGTCTGAGCAATTTCAAAATTTAGTTTTATAGCTTTGGAGAAAGTTTTCCTGCTGGTATTTTATTATGTTTTCTCTTGCCATACAACAAGGAAAAACTTTGCAAGAGTTGAGAGACAAATCAAAACTAGGTTAAATTTGAATACTTGGAGTAGCACAACTTGCCTTTCAAGTGACTCAACCCTAAATCTTTGATAAATCAATGGCAAACCCTCTTCATGCTTCACATCCTGGGGTAAACCTTTCTTTCAGTGTCTTCACTGTAATAGGAACAATTTTAAAGAGCACTTCACAAGTCAACTTACTGATTGTCTAGAACACGTGCACCACCACCTAATTAAAATTGAAATTTAATTTTTTTTTCCAGTAAGTTTGTATAGCCCAATAATTTTCTTTCACTCCCTCTTCCCCTGTAGAATGTCACGCTCTGTTTGCTGTGAATACATGGCAATGAATGTGCAAAGGGAGGGGGATATTGTAACAAACTGGGGTTCAAACAATCTCTGTTACAAGTTAGATGATATATAACATTCACATGGCTGCTATTAACCCTTTACCTCCCATAAGCTGTTAAAATGTAACTTCTCCCTGTAATATCCATACATTGTCCAGCAAGTAGGTAATGAGAATACACAAACCTATCAGGTAAAATTTGTTATCTTGATCTTACTCCAAATTCTCGTAACCAATTAACAAGGAAACTTGTAGCGGCCAGAAGGGAGAATTAACAATCAGATCTTGGGAGTTAAAGAGTTAAGGATTTCATGCTGTTCATCTAATCACCGCCCCACTTAAAGGGGAAGAATGGTCGTCGGTTTCAAGTCTTAACGTGATTTTACTATTTAGCGCATTTGGCTGGGTGTCTTCTTCATCTGCCAGTCTAAAACACGGTGAAAATAATTTTTCTAGAGCTAGTATCGAGTATTCTCTCAGAAAATACCAAACTTTCTTCACGAGTTTGAATGCCACAATCTACATCAAATCTTTTGTTCTGAAAAAGGAATGCGTTTTGTATCAAACTAGGGCTATGGACTTAGCGGCTCAACTCCAAACTACTGAGAATCGTTTAAGGTACTTGTTCCCTCATATGCACCGACCTTCAAAACTTTTGGACGGCCATATCGCCATCTCCCCCGCAGCCCTCAGAAGAAGCTTGCGTGACATGCGAAGGAGACCACTCTATCGCGTGACACCAAAACCATATGGCATTAATAATCAATGGAATATCTTCATGCCGCTGAGTTCGTTTGTCGGTTGGTTGCTCAAAACCCAAGGGAACGAGGATCTCATATGTCGAAAGGCAATCTCTCTCTACCCTTTAGTCAAAATAAATAAAAGTTGATATTTCAGTGGACTTTGTTCCCACTGATAAATGTTGAGATAAGCGATTATTGACATAATGAAGCGAAAACCTTACCTTGCATTTGCTGAATCGGGCAATACGAGAATAATTTGTTAGGCTTTGTTTTGAAATCATAACTCTGAAGTTGAAGTTGTATGTGCACCAGATGAATTCAATTTTGGATACCTTTTGATTCAGCTTTTAACCTAATTTTTCTGTTTCTCCATGCTAGCTCAAGGAAGTTTAAAATGAGCCTATTTCCAAGCCATCAATCAAAGCGAGGAAATGAAAATGATCGTTTCCCAGATTCAACTGTGTCACAAGGAAACGATCATTCAAGCTAGAAGCTTAAAGATAAATTCATTACTTCCTACTTCTCGATAAAAACGCCTGTCTGGCTTTAATTACGCCGACCTTTGCAATTCATCTATTAAGATCAAGTCAGCGGGGATTCGTGAAAGGAGAGAGAAAACAAAAATTGTAATTGGACGCAGATAGTAAAGCGATTCGAATTGACTCGCTTTAATTACGGTCGATCACAAAGTATTGTAGTTCAGGCACTTCCTCTCGTTTATTTTTGGGATCAATTTTTAAATACTTTGTTCGGAAATGCGTTTATCTAATTAGATACAGCTGGCCAAAAGTTAGTTTTCACAAAAGCTGTTGTTACGTTGCTTTAAGTGAGTAACTTTAAAAGAGGGAATGCAGTGTTGGCGAGGCTGTTAATCAATGAAGTTGACGAGATTTGCGTTTTCATGATGCGATCTTTCTACTGCCGAAGCGCCGTTCGTGACTACTGCATCTGTTTTTGAGCGTTCATTATCCCTATGTCTGGTTCCTAATTTATTGTTTTTCCATG